TTTGAATGGATTGTTGTCACTTTTTTCACATTTTGAATGAATTGTTTCTTTTATTTTTGTGTATGGTTAACAACCGAATAACTGAACCAAACCGAAATCGATAACCACAAAACCGATAAATGTATATTATATTTGATTTGGTTTGGTTTTGATAATTTTAGAACCGATTAAGTTGGTTTGGTTTTGATTTTTACCAATAACCTATCCAAACCGACCCGTGAACACCCCTACTTAGGAGTGGGCATTCGGTATTTTCAAAGTTTGATTTGATAATTCGATAATTGAAAGTAGATATCAACGATGAGCTTTCAAAGTTCAGTTCGATAAATCAGATTTTCGTACAATAATAATTAAGTAATTATTGAATTGAAGGAAAATATATTTTTAGCAAGGTATGTTCATTATTTCTCCAATATTTAACATGTTAGTCATCCATGTATAGAGGTTAGATTTTACTCTCAATTTTTAATATTGTAAATTTATCGGCATAGGTCAATCAATACATCTCAATTATTCGTTATATTATTTATATATAATAAAATAGAGATACCTAGGGGTGGGCATTTGATAATCGACTTGGTATTTCTAAAGTTCAATTTCGATAGTTAGGTAATCGACAATTAAAAATAGATATTAAATACTGAACTTTTAAAGTTTGGTCCGCTATTGCAATAAAAATTTGGTATAGTAAATTTTGTTTTGATTTGAAATTGAGTTTTTGATGATTTATGTTCATCCCTATTTATTGGGGCTTTGGAGGTTGCAATGGTGAAAGTGTCACAATCCAAATCGCATAAGTAGCACCCACATCAACCCCCGATGAGTGAACTAACACTTAATATCCTAAATCATGCATTCATCTACTAATCTAGTCAAAAATTGAAAGCACAACATGATAAAGTCTAAATCTTAAATGAATAGATAAATGCGAAAGTCTAATTATTACAATCCCAGAATCTGAAAGTCATTGTACTAGAGCATCTAACTAACAAATCTAAGAATAGTAATAACTAATAAATAAGGAGTCTTAATGATCTAAGAAGAAAAACATCAACAAATAAAAGGATTTGTGACACCTCAAACAGAAGTAGTTCATCCTCAGATCTAGAAGCAACTCAACTAAATATGAGGATGGTAGACACCTCTAGATCACAATTTGCACTCAAAATAAAGTGCAGAAGTAGCATCAGCGTTTTAGGATCGACTAAGATTAGTAGCAAATATATAATCACATTCATAGAACATATAGACAAACATTTGCACATAGTTAACACACATAGCACATTCATCACAACATCACCACTTCTTTAATATATTCACAATTCACACCCATAGACTTATCACGTATAAGATAGTTCAACCACACCTAGCATTTATAAGGGAATTCAAATTGCAAGAGTTAAGCGGGTACTACTCTTTTAACACCACTAGACATTTAATCAATATAAATCATCATATACTTGTTAAAATGCAACAAATCAATACAATACACTTTCCATAATACAATAAGATAATTCAACATACTTATCATAATGCAAAAAGATACTTCGACACACTTGTCCTAATGCAACAAGTCAAATGAGTTTCATATTCATCCTCGCCTTACAGATGCATAACCACCTCACCAATCTATAACATACCTCTAGAAATCATAAGTCTCACTCTCATACGTACATATATGCTAAGAGTTTTATGTTTTCTAATACAGTTATGACCTATAGTGGTCTCTAGGTGTCTACATACCTTATTGACTTGGTACCCAATCTCATATACCCATTTAGCTAAAATTGACTCACCAACAAGAGTAGAGAGTGAGAAGGGTTCTGATAATAATTCAAAACTGACATCAAATTTCATAGTAATCTAAGGAGTTACGAAAGAAAGTGTGGCTTATGGATCTAACAAGGCATAAACATCAAACTGAAAGACTCGAGGCATACTAGTGACTACATCAGGGGAATCCTATTGAGTATGAAAAGAATAAAACTTGTTTTGAAGTTGTCAGCCACTAGTCCTAGATGAGGTACCCTGATGAATCATGTGACATGCTGAAGCATAAGGTGAGCCTGGTGACAAACATGTTTGCCCTTGTTTGTGTCCAATGGGCAATCCCTCAATCGATGACCAGTCTTATCAAATCCAAAGCACCTACCAGTACCGGTCATACACTCTCTTGGATGGTTCTTATCACACATTTGTCACACGAGGGGAAAGAATGTCCACTAGACATGTTGCCCTATGACTTATAGCCTAGCGCCCTATCCTTGTTAAATTTAGCACTAGAGTACTAGCAAAAGATGGGGCCAGGCCTGAATATTTCTGACAAAACTAAGATCGACTACCCACCTTCTAATTTCTCATGAGAGTAGTGCACACTATCTTTCCAAGCCCTCTTAGTCTCCCTAGCACTCTCCTTAAACTTTTTCTCCTTAATCCATTGACCATTGATGAGTCTGAGATTTGGACTCATTTAGGGCTTTATTTATATAGGTTTAGTGTCCTCAAATGCTTATTTTGTGCCAATAACTTATGTAAAACCCTTGATTTCCAGGTATATGGATTAACGAACAAAGCAAGGACACTAATTTACAAAAAGAAATGAAGCGAGCTGAAAGAATGAAGAAATGCAAGCCTGGTGATCGCCAAGTCCACTTGGCGAGTCGCCGAATGGCTACTTGACCGCCTAAAGTTCCAGTGCACCAACCCCTGAAGGAAAGAACCAACGAGAGAAAGGAGCAGTCGGCGGATCGTCGAGTGGTTCCGCGATGCAGAGTTAGATCGCCCAAAGTTACAGACCTTGAGGTTGTTGAATGCCAAGGCAGAAGGGCGATGGAAATGACCAAAGGGTGGATCGCCGAATGATTCGGCGAGCCCGACTTACTTCGTCGAGTGACTCTTTGCAACACATTTTTGGCGACTATAAATACATTTTTGAACATTTAGTTTAGCATCTGATATCATAATATACTAACATATTTTTGAGTTTTGAACTGTAAGACAAGTTTTCTCTAGTTTTCCTAAGCTTTGAAGAATTGAAGTTTTTCACTTTTGAGAAATTGGAAGTGGGTCTTTGAGATTCTTCAACATGGACAATTGAAATACCGGATGAACACCTGATAGATTAGGAGGTAAAGCCAATCTACAAGCCACTGGCCCTACATATTCAAGAACCTCAAAA